ATTATTATTATTATTATTATTATTATTATTATTATTATTATTATTATTATTATGCATTTATGCTTCTCTTGTAGTCTAGTTTAAAATGGTAAATGCTTCAAACCTTCTCATGATTTAATCTCTACTGACTGGCTAAGTGCTGATGGCTATTAAGCTATGGACCTATGGTCATAATAATACAAGCAGTGAATAAATCATTTGTTTATTAAATTTTCTTGGCAATTAGTATAAATCTTTCTATTAACTGTAAATGTTGGACCGTTAGCTATTACTGAATTTAAACTGTAATGAAGATGAGGAAGTGACCTGTGACCCTAACGTGTAATTGTAAGTGTAATTATTGGCTATTGCAGTGTTGCTAAAAATTAATGCAAAATTACAAATCCTTCTTTAATTTGTTACTCGTTAGCTGTTGGCTGATGATGTTTGGTGAAATTTGCATAGTTTTACTTGGCTCAAATTACCTGAATCTCAAATAGTAAAATTACCTGAATTAAATTTTTTTTTTAAATGACTTATATTAATGTAAATCCTACTTAAATTTGATTTTTAAAAATACTAAATAGTTTATTTTGAAATATCATTTTTTAAAAAAATTTAGGTTGCTGGGTTGTGTCAGGTTGACCCAAAATAGAATCAGGCTGGGTTCATGTTAGGAAAGTTTACCTGAAATCTAAATCGAGTTGGGCTTTGGTCAGATCTAAAAAGGTGGGTCATTTCGGGTTTGACCCAAACCTAATCTGAAAATTCATTTTGACACCCCATGTGTTGGACAAGCTTATTGATATTTCTTCTGAAGCTGAAGGGCTGGTGGATATTCTTGGCCATCGTAGTTCCTTATTTCACTCGTTGCAGTTGAATCTTTCACCTACATCATTGGAAAAACGGGTATATAGATCTTTATACGCGTCTGTGGGGCTTTCACTATAAATTATTAGTAACTTGTTTTCCTGACTGAGATCCACTTAGGAATCCCCACTAATCTTCACTATTTGTCTTGAATTTGGAACTATATGGATACAACTAACGCTTTTGTCTTACATCTAGCTAACACCACTAGTGTGGACAAACCACCATCAAAAGATGCTCAACCCTTGAAAGGAAGCCAGAGGGCTGTACCTGCACATCGCCGGTGAGTTCAGTATCTCATGTTTTTTTGCTTTTTCTTTGTTTTCATTTTTGCTTCTTTTACAGAGCAAAAGCAAGAGGTGTTTCTTTGCAAGATAATGAGGATGATGATGGAAAATAGACATTGTAGATTTACTGAACGCTGGTTTTGGACAATAAGAGTATATGTACAGAATAATCAACAACAGGTTATGCCTTTGCAACAAAATTGAATAGTAGCTTAATTTATTTGAATGCATTTGGTGCAAAAGAATAAAAGATAAAAAGGAAATAAAAATATGTTAGATTTGAAGTATTGCAGATATTATTTGTAATCCAAGCTGTCTCTATTGTCATGCTCATCCAAGCTGCAATTTGTACAACATTAACACGTTTATTTAGTTTTTTTTTTTTTTCATTTTCCAATGAGATTAGAATAGAAATTTTTAAGCAGGAGACCTTGTTTTGGTTCTGTTTGAGCTCTGCTTTGTCTTTAAGAAAATAATTACTGTGTTCAAGTTTACCTCTTTAGCTCCCAGATAGAAATCTTTATAAAAGTTGATCCTGAAGCGGCCGTATAGACATTTTGATTTATATTTTGTTGCGGACTAAATTGGAGTTTTGTCTTCCACTTTTCACACACTAGCTAGATAAACAGCAGTCATTCTTTTTTTTTTTTTTTGTGAAAAATTACAAAATGCATTAAAAGGAGAACTAATTACAGGACATAAAAGGATCACATTCCTTCTTTAACAAAGTAAGCAAAGAAGAATGAATGTTGCTAACAAAAAAACTACCTTGTAAAGCCAAAGTAGCACATAATCAGCTACTTTATTACAATCTCTATTAACATGGTTAAAAATAACCTTATTGAAATTATTAAGAAAGAAAAGCTCCTTTCACAAACTAATATCCATTTGCCAATTAGATTTCTTCAAAGAATCTTTAATGAAGCTGATAATGTTGAGATTATAACTTTCAATTATTATACCTTTGCTATTCATCATCCAACTTTGTATAACCTCCCTTGTTGCAACAACTGCATCCAACTCCAATTGAGCTGCATCCCAATGAATTCTTCTTTTTCCAAAAGAAAGAAGTATTCCTTTATGATCTCTAAACACTTGCTATCCCTGCAAGATTAGATTCCAAAAGCGAAGCTTCCACATTTATTTTAATCCAATCTAACGGTGGAGGGTGCCAAGAATTTTGAAACTCCCATAGGAGATTAATACCCTAGTTATCTAGCATTGGATTATAATGATTAATGGACGTATTCCGCACATTAGAAGCCACCACCGCACTTGGAAGAACACTTTTACCATGTTTGAAGTTAGTCCGATTTTTCCAAGCTAGAAAAACTGTTGTACAATATACCTTAATTGTGTTGGAATGTTGAAAAGAGTCTTCTAAGTTCATCCAAATAATATTCCAATGATTGAAACATTGGAATGTTAAATCCCTAGGCTCTTAATTTTTGAATTATCACCACAATATGAGCATAATTTTCTATTTCATGGCATCCTCTCGCACATAAATCATCATAAGAAAGTTTTCTACATTTAAGAAAGAGGTTTGTAGGAATAGTATGCTTACTTAGTCTCCACCAAAAAAAATTCCACTCTTGGATTCAATTTCAGTTTCTCTCAATTTCAGTTTCTTAAGCCACCTTGAAAAGCCAAGATCATCCTCTATAATGTTGCCTTTTGTTGCTTCATCATAAGCCAAAGCAGATATTGATTTTCCGGAATAATGAAACATAGGTTCCACTTGGTCATTATGAATATCATGATTGATTTTAACTTGTAAAATCAACATTATAAGATCATCATGAAAGTAACGTTGAAGCTAATCTATATTCCAGTTACCTTCGGTAGATATGAATTGATGCACGTCATATCCTCCATTCCCACACAATTAGCTAGTACTAACTAGGAATCAAGACATCTATCAAGAAGCCAGATATCTTTCAACACAGTAATACTTTCACCATTACCCACTTTCAACTTAATAATGGGTTTGAGATATTTGCTGCCATCTAACAAAATTTGATATGCATTAGAAGCTCCTTTCTTACTTTCATCCTTCAATACATTATTCCCATATGTAGCAATGATATTCTTGTGACACAAAGAATCGGGATTTGAATTAATCTCCATGCCAATCTCGCTTTAAGATGACCAGCTTTAAGAATAGCCGAGTGCATGCCCAAACCGCCAGCACTTTTCGATTTGCATAATTCTCCCCAAGCAACATAATGCAAACCCTTCTTTCCATTGGATTTATGCCATATAAAATCCCTACTAAGTTTATCCATTTCATGCAATAACCTTTTGGGAACCAAAGAATGTGTTGATAAAAAATTTGGCAAAGATAAAAAAGAATCCTTTATAAGAGTAATCTTTCCTACCAAATATAAATTCTTATTTCCCCAAGAATTAAGTCTTTCCATTACATGATACATAATACCTTGGAAAAAAGCCATTCCAAATCTCCTTAAACCGATTTTAATTCCAAAATATTGCATTTCCTTCAACGCTTTGAATCCCAACTTCTTAACAATTTTGTTATGTCTTGGTCGTTTAACTGCTTTAACAAACATGATAAAAGACTTGTTATTGTTCACCCGCTGTCCCGTCCATCAACAGAAATCAGCAACAATATCTTTTAAAACTTTAACAACTCTTGTAAAAGTGTGGCCTCCGAAAATTCGACCCCGACCTCTGCCCACACTGTTGCATTTCGTCAGTGAGGGATTTTTAACTGGTAAAGTTCCGGGGTAAATTTTGGAAGGCAGATGGGTTTGCAGATAAGACATTACCCTGAGATTTCACCCTCATTTTGTGAGGACTTTATGATCCGAGTTCTAGTTTCCTATAGGCGCAAGCCCTTATAATTAATTACCCCTCCCGATAACGAGAGAGAATTTTCGATTAAGACTAGTCGTCAATCAGATACATAGAAATACGTGTTATATGGCATATAGTAGCAGCACGGGTTTGAGAATTGAAGAGCTTGGAAATGATTGAGAATTTGAAGGTTGAATATTTAAAATTGGGAATTTCACCATCTTGCGCTTAAAGCGGATGGTGGGGGAATGTATGATGGACTCGATCAAGATCCCATGGTTCCATCGTCCCGGGCCATCGTGGACCCTGGTCTACTTAGTTAGAGGAGGTAGTCGACCCAACTTAGCAGAAGGATCCTTGTCGGCAGCCATGGGTTGCTTCGTCTAAGGGGACCTTGTAGACCTAGGGTTAATGCTTGTCTAAGGGGACAAATTTGAATCCACCTTAGCTAACAGAGGGCTTTGTTCCCTATTGATCATATCATATTGATTCATATCTCAAGGATTTGATGCCACTAAGGTGCGTATTGGCTCTGGCCATAACCGGTATTTCGTGGTGCCATTCGGCGGCAAAACCAATTTGTTCAGAGGGCCTCGGGTCATAACCGTTTATCCTGCGGTGCCATTTGGTTGCAAAACCGCCAGTTAGAGGACACATACCATATCCTTATTGGCATAAGATTTGTTTGAGAATGAATCCTAATGATATTGTTGACTAGGCATTAGATCTTTGTGAGCTGAAGTAGTTTTCAGATTTGTCCACCTCGGTAAACTATTGCGGAGTGTGGATGTATTTTGCTTTAAGCATTTGATGGTTTTGATTTCAAATTTTAAATACTTTGAAATTGGAATTTTGATATTTTTTGGATTGCAGAACTCTTGGAGTTTTAGATTTTGATGGGCACTTTGAAATAATATTTGTGAATCCCTCCGATTGAGATCTGTATTCAGCACAGCCATCATCGGGGTGTAAGTAGTTATTTCTCTTTGTTAATTGAACCCTATCGACTCTATCAACTTGCCGATAGGAGATTGGGTTTCGTAGGCTTTATGCCGTTATTAGTGAATTCATATAATCATAAGTCTTGAAGGCCTAATATGAATGTATTAAAACAAACATATCGGTTACCATAATCGTGTATTTGTTTGATGGTTCGAACCCTGTTGACTCCTATTGATCCGTGTAGAAGGATCGGGTTCAAACTTGAATTCACTTATTGACCTGCGCAGCATCCCTAGACGTCGCATATATACTAATAACACGCTCGTCGGGGCCCATGCAGGTGTTTGGGGGAATTTTATAATCATTTGATGAACATTGTCGACTCCTATTTACTTGGTTAGGAGGATCATGTTCAATTTTATTAACCCGCGCAGCATCCCTAGACATCACGTATGTTCCTTCAACATGCTCGTCGGGGCCCATGTGGATGTTATGATTGCATTTACCCCTTTTGTGTACCTATGTGTATACAAACTACGGTGCACGTGCAGGGGTTCTTTGAAACATTTGTAAATGCCTTTTGTCCGCTTGCATGAATGTTGCGGATCCGGTGGCGTGTTGTAGCAGCTTATGGATTGAATTGTTCGCTTCTTTGTACTGGTAGACTATCGTGCACTACTTACACGATTTATGCTGGTAGATTGTAATGCACTAACTAATCTCCCGCTTTATATTTATAGATGCTCGTAGATAGCTTGTTGTATGCATAATTAGTTTTCCCACTGTAACTCATAACTACTTGCACTTGATATAGTCACCTTATATCTTGCTTGTAGACAATAGATTGGGTATACTACGAGTCTTCTATAGTGGCCCGTGGATACTTGCAATTGTTGTAGTCATTTTGCATGTTGTTTGTAGTGATATTTTACATGTATGGTGGATTTTCTGCAAGAGTCTGTGTAAAACACATTATGTGCACGATGAGTTTCCTATTACATCTCATAGAAGTTTGCTTTTGTTGTACCCTTTTGGCATTCTGCTTGTGGACAACATTTAGTGTGTATGTCGAGTCTCTCACAAAGACCTATAGATACGTGCATTTATTACATTTAATCCAGTATTTTCTTGTAAATGGGATATAGTGCATATTATGAGTCTCCTATGACCCCGTAAATATTTGCACTTTGCCACATACCATCTACTCTTGCTTATAAGGAGATAGTATATTTGCTTAGCACAAGATTATTGCTGATCGTATGAGTATCCTAATATTCATTGCATATTGCCCTGAACAAGTTGGCAAGGGATCTTGTTTTTGTGAGCAAATTGTATTTGCAAGTTCTTCATCATCTATGAGAGTGGCTCTGCTTACTAAGAACTTGTTTCATTAACATCATTAAGCTCCTTTGCATGAACTCGTAGACCCACTAACGTGAACACAACATACATCACATTACTCATGTGTTGATCAAAAGTCCTTTGTGATAATAATGAATATATTCTTGAATTGCTAGTCTTTTTCTTGTTTGCAAATGACCTCCTTCCTCGTACAGATGAACTTATGTACTTGTACAAGCGTCATGCTCGTATTCATTATATATCTTCATTTGTAGGAGAGATGTTCATTCATCAACAAACTATGTCGCATGTATTTGTATGAAGTATTGTCATTTGTAGGCATGTTACTACGCATGTTGCAATCAAGAAACTTTGATTGTATGCAAACTGC